TACCGTTGTGCAGTAGAAAACTTTTTTCCAGAGCTGAAAATAGTATGTGATATTTACAGCGGCAACCTTGAATTGAGGGGCTCCTCCTCAGAGAGAATCTTTTGTTCCAAATTACATTTTAAATGATGATGATTATTACGTGCGGTGTTACAATAAATGCAATTATTCTGCCATTTCTATCAGAAATATTACATGGGAAACAAAAGAAATGCTAAGCTGAAGCTGGCTCGTGATGCTGTGTTACACCTTCACGCTGTACAGCTGATGCATATGCCGCATCAGAAAGTTTCGGCACGTTGCCTGAACTTGTGCACTGTGGTTATGGTGACAGAAAAAAAATAGCACACGTAAAATCTGATAGGACTGCAGCCTATCTCTGTTGCCATTACTGTTGCTTCATGAGCTCTGAACTGCTTTCTATTCCAGCTTTTGATTATTCTCTACGAATTGAATGCGGCACAGTACATGAATGGCTGGTTTCAAACAAACAATCTGAATGCACAGTTTGACAAGTATGTCATGTTTAGCTTACTTAAAGGCCTGAAACAACTGCTAACATTCCAAGTGTTTTCAAGTATATGAATTTTCAGACCCAAACTACAAATGCTTTATCTTTGCCAATTCAGGCACTAGCTGCTTGTTTCTGCATGTGTGCCCATAGATCCGTGAAGGAAAGCAGTGCTTCTGGTGCTCCCAGGCAGTTCTTTATGCATTTCCCAGGCACAGTTTAAGAGGCTGCTTCTCAAACTAGCCACCTTTACTGTGCCCCGTGTCCCCTGTTGACTTCATTAGGAGCCGTGTGCACGGAGGATTTCTGAGGGTGCTAAAAACATCAGTGGGGTACTGAGCAAAGAGGAGACCAGCCCGGTAAAGAAAGCTCCCTGGAACAATCAGGTTTTGGTACTAAAACCCTGGCGTACTGCATGTAGTGTCTAACATGTTTACAGGTAAGACGTGTACATTTTTTAAAGCATATGTATTTCTTCTAGCTCAGTTTTCAGGAACAGTAAAAATCTTATTTCTTTTCAATGCAAAAAATTTCCAGGACAAAATTGTGCTCCTCTGTTGACATGTTCAGAACGTGATGAATGACATCCTTGAAGTACATATTATCAATTTAATAATGGTATTCATACAATGAAGATCTTGGGAGCATCTGCTATTAAAAAATTTTGCCAAAATCTGCAGACAGCACCTCTGTTTGCAAGAGCCCCAGGGGACACTGTTGCAAATCAAAACGTTTCTACTCTTCCATCCAGAGTTTAAATGTGCTCTTACAATATTTATGAAAGTGGGTTCTTCATATTTTGCCACAGCCACACCAAAAACGCATTCTCTCTTTGAAGGTTTGTAGGCATGCCATGTGCACATCATGACTCTGGACAGCAGAAAGCAGCTTTCAAGGAAGATAAAGCAATATTTCAGGAGAAAGAAGAGAGAAAGCGGAGTTGTCTAGCCAAATGCTCCAACAAGAGGGGCTTGCCTGCCACAGTTACCCATCTCTGTAGGTCAGGTTTTATGCTACTACCTCTCTCTTTCACGCTTCCCCTGTAAAATCAGTGTCAGTCGTAAGGGATTCATGAAGTCTTTGACTCTTCTCCTTTTTAAAGGTCAGGGCTCCACTTTTTAATTGGAAAAGCAAAAGGCAACTGAGCCTCACCGTGAACACTGCTGCTCTTCTTGCGTGCCTCAGGAGTCTCAAAGGCTGGCCAAATACATTAGGGCTTTTTGAGGGGTGCCCGGGGAGGGGAGGGGGCGGTGGCATTACAAACTGATGCAATTTCTTGGAAAAAGGAGATGTCTAAGCCTAAACAGGACTTACCAGTTACTGTACCTGCAGCTGGAACTGCAGAGCAGCCACCTGCAGGAGTTCAAGCTGATGGCAGTATTCTCATCCAAGTGGTTGTTTAGTGACTTCTTTATAACTGTTTCTTTTCTCTTCATCAGAACTGTGCCTTTTAACTTTGACAACTCCCTTCTTCCCCCGTGGTAAAAAAAAAAAAAAGAAGAACCCTAAGAAGGCTTGGATCTGGGGAGCTGGGGGGGGGGGGAGGTTTCTTTTACTTCTCCAGGGAAGTGCAGGGAGAGGGGAAAGAAGACAGGCTGAACTTGTTTTTATTGTTGAGAATTGGGCTGGTTTTCTGTTTTTCTTCTCTAAGAGTTATAGAAACAACGCTGGCAATATGAAACAGTTTCACTTCTGTTAGAAATAGTGACTGGAAAGATGTAAAATTTTTTGTTTAGCTCTTATACTTCTTGCAGTACATCTAATGGCTGACCAGCTTTGTTTCTCATGTTTCAAAGACCACTTCAGTACTTCCACTAAATACATGTTTTGCCTAATGCTGATATGTCTGGGTATTCCTAGAGTGATCTTCAGCATGGATTCTGAGCTGAAATGTAAATTTCTGAATAATTTCCTTATTCCTAATAATTTCCATTATTTATTTAGAAGTAAGTATAAAAAAGCAGAGAAGTACTTACTCTTTCTTTTATTTTATTTTTCTTAAACGGTGAATACAGCAATTGCGTGTTTCCCTCAGTTTTTACCAAAGCTCTCATGCACATACATGTTCGCTACCAGTTTCGTCTCTGCGCATGATGTTCAGACTGGAATTTGGGGTTTGGGGTGCATTGGTTTATTTTGGCAAAGCCAGGCTTAGCATTCTCTATCAAATATATACCTACATCCCTCATGCCTTCCCTACTTGCTCCTCCGTGCTCTCCACTGAAGAGCTTTGCTTTGGTAAAATCTTGCCTGTCAAAGCACTTCTCTAGTTTATGGCCCACATTTCTTTACACTGTCATTGCTGTCTTCAGTGTGAGGCCATTTCCTGGTATCTTTATGATAACTGTCTCCAAAGTTATTGTGTGATATGTTGTTTAGTGTATCTGCTATTCCTTACATAATGCTCTGAATTGAAATATTAAGAAGTATTGGAACCAAGGCTTAGCTCTAGCGTTTTTCAGCCACCTTTCTGTCTATATCAGATCATACTCATCATAACATTTTTCATTTAATTTTTTATCCGGATCTATCCAGGATGCTATTGAAAATTTCCCTTTTATAAATTTTTTTGAGGATCTACATTCTGTAAGAAGCCTGCATAACGTTCACAGTAATATTTTTTTGCTTTTACCTCTTTGCTTATCACATATAAGTTTTAATGCAACATGACATGAGTGGCCCATAATTTCCAGAAACAATTAGACAGGGTTCTGTTTCTTAATGACCTCTCTTTTCTTTTCCTCCTAAGACTGCAGAGCTTCAGAGTTAGCAATCCTTTCTGTTCTTCCTATTTTCTTTCTACATACTTTATTTCATTCATGAAATTTCTTCCAAAGGACGGAAATTACCACTAATACAGCAAAAAATCCCAACTGATTGTGTGCAGATGAAAGACCTTGTTACATACCTGCACCCTGATTTAGACTAATGGTGGACTAATTTTAGGATTCTCTATTTTATTCAGCATTGTACCATTCTGCCTGACCCTTTCTCTAATGCGTTAGTGTTTTGCCTGCGCTGAATGACTTCTGAAAGTTAAAGGAGATACATCACCATTTCCTCTGATGGTTATTTAAAAGAGATTCTGCTTTTATTGCCTATTCTCATCACAGGGATCATAGCACTCCTTACCTCTTGCTATGTCTATTCTATTTTCATATAACTCAAGATGCTTCATATTTCCCATTTTTCAGCTAGCTGTTAAGGTATTTGTTAGCAGTAGCGCCTATCTTGGTTCACCTTCTGATTTCATGAGAGAAGAAAAAATACGTCTTCTGTCACAAAGATCTTCCCTGAAAAGAAGGTTGTGTATTTCTGGATTGCCTATAACCTTCTTACATGCCTCCATTTATTAGTCTACAACAGGGGAATAATAATGCTCACCCAGGGCTTAGCTACGTGTTTTTGGAAACACATTCAGGACATTTGTGGAAAACCTGATTTAGGACAGCTCTTCCTCTTCTGTTTTTTTGCCAGGTACCTAAGTGCCCTTTGTTAGCCAATTTTTTGCTAGCCCTGAAACAGTTTTCTCTTGTATTCCTTCTACTGAAGTAAGTCACAAGTGTCTGTTTAGCCTTGGTAGATGCATCTTTATTCTTTTGATGCAATGGTACTTCATTGTACAGCGCTATCTCTCAGGACTCCCAAGGCTTCTGCTTTTGCTGAAAGTAGGGTAATTACATTGCCTCATTAAAACGAGGTCCTGTGATGATGAAGTGCCCCAGCTCTCTCAGGGAAATCTTTCTACCCTCTCTCTGACAGACCATCCCACCAGATCTTTCTCCTTTCAACCTATTTGATGAAACATTAACACTTAGTTCGTTATCCATCAGTATTTCATGTACTTCACAGGTAATTTACTCCAAGGCTGGTGACTCCTGGGACACACAGCCTGACTGAGACCAAAACAAGGACAGTCCTGAAGCAAAGGCACGTTCTAGATGACAGCGATCCATGCTACCCTTCCCGATGACAGGGGACCCTGGGGATGTTGCTAAGCACACCCATGAGTGCATGAGAGAAGCAGAAGACAGCGGGCAGAAAGCAAGAGGATTATCCAGCACAAAGAGTCAGCGCACGCCATCCCAAGTCAAGTTGCCTGGCTCTTCTCCACGGCACCTTGCTTGTCCCTCCTACATGCTCCAGGTCTATTTTCTCTTTTTATTTTATGCCTTTATATTTTATTTTATGTAGGAAACGTGTGCTCTGCAAGGCAAAATCTGCTGCCCTTCGCTCCACAAAGAACCCCACACCCCTTATGCAGTCGTCTGCCTTATGTCAAATTCAGGGAGCCAAAAGTCTCACACGTGTCCGCAAATGGTAATATTAGGACATATTTTATCATCACTATGTGGAAACACCCCATACTCTGGATGCGAAGGTTGGAAATCAACCACTGTCTGACCAGCCCTTCCTGGCACCCCGCTCCCAGCCCTGCTGCCCTGCTCCCCGTCGAAGGCGACGGCAGCGGCGCGGGGCCGGCCGCACTCACAGCACGCAGAGGCAGTAGACTCCCGGGATGCTCTCGCTGTCCCGCAGCAGGGAGCTGCCGTCGGCGCCCCCCGCCCGCACCA